GCTGCGTGCAGCTAGTGTTGGCCCCGCCGCTGGACCCATTCCTCGAACACGGCGCCTCCCGGCGCCAGGAGGCGCCAGGAAAACCAGCTTGGTGAGCTGATTCTCTACCATATCTTTTGCTATCATACCCTTTCGTCCACACGATCCTCCCCCCTTCTCCTGCTCCACGTAGCGCCGCTAATCTTCGGGCAGGGCTAGGACGATGATGAATCCGTTCCAGAGCGTTCCAGAACGCTCTCAGAGCGTTACGGAACGCTCTGAGAAGGTCTCGGCGCCTGAGACGTCCTCCAGAGCCGCCGGATCTCAGAGATTCTCGATGCATCCTCACCCGATCTCATCCTCGTCCTGGCTTCGTCTTAAATGGAGTTAGTGTGAGCTATCCTCCTGCGTGGTCTCGAAGGCCTGCGGATGGCCAGCAGGAGCTCTTTCGGTGGCCGTTCTTGCCAAGGAGGTCTGCGTGCGCAGGGCCAGGAGCTGGAGGAGGCAGAGGTTCGCGGGAGCGTACGGTATGTTCGTGTAGGCGCCCTGAGGTCTGTGGGTATCATTCTGTTGACGGCCTGTGGGAAGAGACGTGGAACCCTGCCCAGCTTTTCACGGATTTCGGCCTTGAATTGGCCGCTCAGATTGGCTAATGTATCGCTTGAACAGTGTTTTGTTGTTTGGGGCAAGCGGCACGGGCACTGAGTACGATAGCACAGTTCAGTGTGATCGTGTTGTGTCGACGCGGCGCGTCCACGCGCCAGATCAACAGATCCTTAAGCCATGTTGACGCCTGCCCGAGACTGGCGATGTTGTCCTCCCGCTCCTCCCATCCTGGGCCAACGGAGCTGGCTGGGTCCAGAGCTTCCCCATCCCTTCCCTTGCTGGTAGAGCGATGCCTCCGCGGAACACGGCAGGCTTCGTTGTTCCCTCATCGTCGTTGCCATCCTCTTGTTCCTCCTGTCTTGACCTCTGCTGCAAATCTGGTGTCTTTTTTCGTTTGGCACACATCCGCCTGTTCCAGCCATCTGTCCTGGATAGGACATGTCAGTACTATGGCCTCGCGCATAATGTGTGCTCGAGGGTTGGTTGCCTCTTTGACACCGACGGGGACCCAGTGCTCATACGCCGCCCATCGGTCGCCGCTGAGTCGGTGCTCATTGACGCTTTGACGGGTGTACCTGTCCGGCTCGACAGACGCCGCAGAAAGATTGGGTTTACGGCGCAGGTCGTGTTTTTTTCTCGCGATGTTGCATTTTGTCGCAACGTCGCATCTCAGGGTAAGAGTGACCCTTCGCCGCAGTGACCTTTGGTGCATTGGCCTGCGCGCTTTGCTCTGATCCCCTCGCGGCCCCCCGAAGGTCGCACCAGAGGTCACTCCTGCTCAGGGCCACTCTTGCGAGCACCGCAGGCGACCGGGCTGGAGTCGAGGAGCGCCAGACGGCAGATAAGCCCGACTCTCCAGAGGTCCGCGCGGACTTCTTGGGGCCCCGCGCCGATCCAAGAAGCATCCGCGGGGACCCCTCCGAGGGATTGTGTGCTTCTGCCGCTTGCCTCTGGCCCTCGACGAAGGGAGCGGCGGCGAGCGAGCCCGGGGGGAGGAGGAGGAGGAGGAGGAGGAGGAGGAGGAGGAGGAGGAGGAGGAGGAGGAGGAGCAGGAGGAGGAGGAGGAGGGCCTTCCCTGAAGGCACAGATTGTAAATCATTTTTTCGGGAGGCGCGAGGGCTTTGAGAAGCACCGCCGCCTTCTGCGAGGGCGCGCTCGGATGTCTTGGATCGGCGTGTCGGTCGCTCCCCCTCTCTCTCCCTCTCTCCCTCCCCTCTCTCTCCCTCCTCCTCCTCTCCCTCTCTCTCTCTCTCTCTTCTTCTCCCCGCCTCTGCCTCCCTATCTCCCCCCTCCCCCTTCTCTCTCTCGCTCTCCCTCTCTGTCTCTCCTTCCTCTCTCCTCCTCTCTCCCTCTCTCTCCCTCTCTCTCCCTCTCTCTCCCCTGAGCTCCTTCCCGCCTCCGGTGGCTCTCTCGGGCAAAGCCTCGGGCCTCCGGCGGCCGCTCGGGACGACCTCGGGGCACTCTCCCAGAGGACGGGCGCCCTCGGCGAGGCGCGGCTCCCGAGAGGCCTCTCGAGGCTGGCAAGCGTCCAGGAACCGACGACAAAAGCACCCCCCCCCGACGTTGCCCTCTTCGGACGGGGCCGGGGCGAGGATGAATCCGCTCCGGAGCCCTCCGGAAGGCTCTCCGAGCGTCCTGGGACGCTTCGAGGAGGCCGCGGCGCCCGAGACGTCCTCCAGAGGTGCAAGATCTCAGAGGTTCGTCATCCATCCTCGTTCGATTTACCCTCGCCCTGGTGGTCGCTTTACGAATGGGCAGGAGAGGACGGTGGAGGAGGAGGAGGAGGAGGAAGAGGAGGAGGTGGAGGAGGAGGAGGAGGAGGAGGAGGCTTTATATCCCACCTGCCCTCCAGCGCAGGCCGCTCGATCGAGCGCGTGGCCAGGATGCTGCTGCGGCTCGGCCTGCCTCTCCTGAGGACCCGGGCGCGCTTCCCGCGCTGACCCTCTGCGGTGCGGTGCTACTTGCTCTTGGGGGGAGGCGCAGCAGACGGAGGAGGTGGAGGAGGCGGGTGATGGTGCTGCTGCTGCTGCTGCTGATGGCGACGACGGACGGCGATGCTGTGGATGTTGATGATGTCGATGCCGGTGTTGATGATGATGATGATGATGATGATGATGATGATGATGATGATGATGATGATGATGATGATGATGATGATGATGATGCTGATGCTGATGCTGATGCTGATGCTGATGCTGATGCCGATGGTGGTGGTGATGCTGATGAGGATGCTGCTGATGATGATGACGACGACAATGATGAGGACGACGAGGACGACGAGGACGACGATGACGATTATGATGCTGATGATGATGATGTTGCTGATGATGATGGTGGTGATGATGATGGTGCTCATGTTGTTGATCATGATTATGATGCTGATGATAATGATGCTGATGCTGATGTTGATGATGATGATGCTGATGATGGTGATGCTGATGATGAGTATGAGTACGTATGAGTGTATTATGAGTCTGATGATGATGATGCTGCTGATGATGACGAAGGTGATGATGATGCTGATGATGATGATGAGTATCTGATGCCGATGATGATGCTGCTGATGATGATGATGATGCTGATGCTGATTGCGATGGTGATTGAGATCCCGCGAGTGTATTTAGATAATATCGACAGGTCCTGCAGATAGAGAGCGGGCACGGCTTGCTAAGTCCCCTGAGCTGGGACTGACTGCAACAGCTGCAGAAGCCACAAACCCATATCCTCAGGCCGTGGTGATACATAAGGCGTGTGAGGGATGAGGCCAACCTCCTGCTAAGTGTAAACGTCGTCCACGGGGGACTCGGTATAACCCACCATCAGCACATTGAAGTTGGAAGCGCTCACCTCTAAACCATTCGGACATGGTCGCCTTGGTTTCGGAACCCCACTTTCGGTCAGGGCGTGCGCGGACGCGAAGCGTGCAACGGCTATAGGCGGAAGAGGAGAGGAGCAAGCGCCTCAGGACCCACAACCGCAGGACTGACACGATCCTGATGAGCTTGGGTGGTGCGATTGGGGTCCATGCTGGCACACCTGCGTACAAATCTGGCCTTGGCTTCGACAAGGGCGATACGATGACGATCGGACTGAGGGGGCCTGGCGCGACGAGCGGTTTCGCCCGCCAGAGCGTCCACCACGATGCTGCCCTGAATGAGACACGATGGCCGCTGCCCGACGGAAGCCTCCCCCGCCTTCACGTGGAACGGGTTCCGAACTACAGAATAGCAAGCAACACTCCCGTTGATCACGCGGATCTCTCGTTCTCGGCGCATGTTTCCTGTCGGTTTTTCGGGGGGTCCAGGATCCGTCAGGGTCCTTCCTCCTCCCGCCCCTCGTTTCCTGCTCCTGCTCCTGCTTCTGCTCGCAGGGAGGGAGGGGGGCGGATCGTGGCATCCGTGCTCAAGCGATAGGAATTAAAGTGGCGCGCGCGCGCCCGTCGTGTCGTTGGTATCGCGAGGGGCGATTGCAAACGGTTTCGTGTTTGTTTTCTCTTTTCGGGGCGTTCTCGTGAAGCCGCGGCAGGACGCAAGTTCGAGCAACTTACGGGCACCTGGCCGCCTGCACAGGCGAGCAAGGGCCCAGGTCTTGGAAGGTTGTGCCCAGGAAAGGGCGGCTTGGCCATTCGGCTATGCCGTTCCCATGCGCAGGGTATCCGCCAAAGCGTCAGCTCTCGCGGGTGGAGGAACTTGGGTTCGCTGATTGTGGATCTCGAAGCGATGATCTCGGACATTTCGTTTGAGTTCAGTGGGGCCGCTGACGGCCGCTGCATGATATGCGACAGGTCGGCTGTCGCCGCCGCGGCTGAAACGGATCGGCGAAACTGTCAATGCACGTGCCATTCTTATAGGGTGTAACGTCGGTGCGCCGACGCTCGCAGGCGCCTCGCATAGCGGGGCCACTGCGGCGGGGGGACTTTTGGCTGCGAGCGCTGCGGCGGAGATGCCTGCTGCCGCGGGCGTTGCGGCGGAGAAACCTGCCGCCGCGGAAGTTGCCGCGGCGAAAGCTTGTGCTATAGAAATGCTGGCCGTATTCAGGACGAACGCGGAAGAGCCGGGACTTCGGGGGGCTATGTGCGGGGCCCAACAGTATGTGCCGCAAACATCTCCCTCGCCCCCCCGTTTCCCAGGCAGGGGGGGGGGGGGGGGGGGCGAGGGGGGGGGGAATTGAGGTGGTATATTCTTGGGGCTCGCGCTATATGCCTTGCCCCTTCGATGATGTCTTGTCCGATGCACGTGTCCCCCCAAGTGGTCGCGCACCAGCGCAGCGCAGAGCTTTAACGTCAGCCAGGGGTGGCCAGAGTACGCAACAAAAGCACACCTCGCGACCGCCATGTGGGGCATGCGCTGCAATGTCAGCCCAGATTGGCCAGGGCGCGCAACAGAGGCATACCTCGACGACCGTCGGATTGGCTCGGGCCAAACCGATAAGCGTCGAACCGGCGCGATACATGAACCAAATGGGCGCCGACTTGACTCGGCCCATCGCGATGGGAATCGGATCGGCGCGGACCGAATCGATCGTTGGATCGGCGCGATGCATGAACCGAATGAGCGTGGAGTTGACGCGGCCCATTGCGATGGGCGTCGGATTGATGCGGGCCAAACCGATGGGCGTCGAAACGGCGCGATACGCGAACCAAATGAGCGTCGAGTCGACGCGCCTGTGCTCCCGAATGACCTGCTGAATGCCTAGGTAAAACTGCCGTGGTAGCAAATCAGGCGACGACATGGGGCTCTTCATGGGCGCGGGGGAAATATTGCCCAGGCCCTCCGCGGCGCGTCCAAATCGCGCGCGAGGGCCGACCGTGGGCTCGGCGACCAGCGGGCGCAGGCCGTTGCAGGAGATGCTCGGGCGATGGCCCTCTTGGCCAGTCAAGCGCAGACATTCTGTCCAGTTATGGGCGCCGAAGCTCGCGCTGCCGCCGAAGCCCGCGTGGCCCAGATCGCCAGGGGTCACAATGAGACGCAGCAGTGAAGACAGAGTAACGCTGCCTGCCCCAGTGAACTGTTTCGGCACTGGGCCAACGACTGAATGTGGTTGAAGACGAGCAGGGGAGCAATGCGCTTTGGAATAAGCAGCGCAATGGCATGCCGTGCGAGCCCCGGACAAAGTCGGAGGCCTGCGAGCGCGACGGCTCGCTAAGGACAATGAGTTGGAGCTGGTCAAAAGTCATGTTGGAGAACGCTTTCGCCGTGAATGGCATAAGTACTTCGCAGAAGTGGTCGGGCCTTTTCATGTAGCGCCGTCATCACCATGCTCGAATCAGCGCTGCTGGACTGGCGGAATCAGGTCTGAGACGCGTGCGACCGACTCGAGGCATGCGACAGAATTTCTGCCGACCGCAGTATCCAGCTACCTAGCCGCAAGGCAGTGAACGGCATGACCTTTGTGAGGCTAGAAATGGGGCGGGCCCTGAATTTGCGAGATGCGGATAAGTTGGCCAGCGCGATTCGCTGAAGAGAACGATTGCCAACATTAATATGAGGGGTTTCTCTGCCATCTCTGCTAGCAGACATCGCCTGTCGCGAGGCGCGCGGGGCCAGTTGCACGGATGCCGCAGCTTGTTTCCATGCCGCCGCAGCGGCGCAAGCTCCCTGAGTGGACAGGTGTTGAGACCAGGTCATCAATGGCACAGACGCAAAGCGTCCTCGCACCCCCTGCGCGCGAGTTTGCGGCGGAGAAATCTGCGGCCAGGCGCGCGGTGCACGGGCGCGCTTCGGCAGGGCAATCTGATGCCGAGCGCGCCGAGAACAGCAGGTGCCCGAATCCAGCAGACCATGGCATCTGGGCCGCGCCTGGGCTTAAGAAACCTGGTCAGCACGGTCGCCGCGCTGATGAGGGCCCGGTGGGCGAGGTGGCCGATCCCTGGCGAACAGCGCAAGGCGCGCCGCCCCCTCTCTTCCCGGGCATTGGCCCGGCGACGCGGGCGGCGTATCATCTTTTCGCGAGCGGCAGAGTGCCGCGGGGGAGGTCGGACACCGCCGAGCACGGCCAAGTAGAGACAGACCGAGAAGGTTGAATGCCGAAGCCTACCTGCCGCGCCGCACTCCCGAGAGTGGAGGCAGGCGGCGCATGGGGCGACGAGCTCAGCCTCGGGTGGACTTGATAAGTGCTTCACTTGGCCCCGCGTGATTTGGGATGCCGCGGCGACGCGCGAGTCCTCGCGGACAAAGTCGTGTTCGAGTTGCTCGATATGGAAGTAGCCGCCGCGCGCAGCAACGCCCTCGGGGATTGTTTACGCTTCGCGAGCCCCCGCCAGCCCAGTCGGAAGCCCTGGTCACGAGGTCCGACGGGGGAAGGGGCGAAGAGGCGCGCATCGTGAAACGGAGCGTGCAAGGATAGGAGAGGAAGGGGGGCGTTGAGCCATCTTCGAGACTATCTTGGAGCATTGGAGGTCTTCGTCAAGCTGCGGGGCTGCGTCGAGGGATAGTGGGGTCCTCTTGGGGCTCGCTTGGGGCATCTCGGGGCCCTCTTGGGGCTCTTCGGGGTGTCTTGGGGTCCTCCTGGAGCTCTCCTGTGGCGCCTTGGGGCCCTCGCGTGGCCCTCTTGGGTCTCTCTTGGGGTTCTCTTGGAGCCCTGTATGGGAGCTATGGATCGCCTCCTGGGGCCGCCGTGGAGACCGTCGGTCACAGGGGGGGGGGGGGGGGGGGGCATTGCGATCCCCCCCCCCCCCCCCTCTGGGGCCATCGAAATAGCTTATTGGGGAGCTCTTGGGGCCCTCTCGTCGCGATCTTGCGCGCTCTTGGAGCGGCCTCGGGGGCCGCCAGGGCCCGTCTCGGAACTCTCTCGGGCCATCTCGGGGCCGCGCTGAGGCCTCGATAGCGCATCGGAAGCGAAGGGGCGCAAAGGCGCAAATGATTTTTTAGGTAGTTGAAGGATTTTGGCCCTTCGGTGAGGTCCTGGGATGTCGCT